AGCAAATGGAACTTAATGCATGGTTTATTGGGAGAGGGAAGAGAACAAGCCTGAACTTGGCGCAAAGGTCAGACATCAGGTGGTCGCATAAATAAAGTATTACACTGTCCTCCTCCGCTCTCCTTGGCACATCTCGCGCGTTATCCATCGAACCGCATTTGGTACTGCAAAAAAGCACCCACGAACTAGATGGGACCTTCAGCAGCTGCCATGAGACTGAGGAACGGCATCTGGTTTCCTCAGCGCCTTCAACTAGATCTAAAGTTACCTTTGGTCAAGAAGACGAACCGGAGTTGCATAATCTGTTAACCATCGACTGTTCCAGGAACCCTTGGTGGAACTCTGATTTAAACAGATGGGTTGGAGAGAAAACGGGATTAGGCAGTCCCATATGTAAAGAGATGTGCAGTGTCATTTGCAACACATATACTCGGTTGTAGTAAAGAAAATTGCGACGCGAAACTTTGGCAGATGGTTCAGGTTGGTTGTAGCGTTCCAAGACTTCCTACCCGATAGAAGAAGGCAGTAAGTGTAGCCTTACAGTGGTGTCGCTTAAGGTGTTGATACCTTGGCTATAGAACACGGGTACATCATTCTTAACCTTTTGACTGTGGAGAAATCAGACATTCTCCCACGACCGATGTAAATGCACCTCTTTCACACCGTTGTTATGTGCCAAAAATGGTAGATACTAGGATAGAAGTGGTTAGAAGGCATAAAGCCTGACTGATAACATATAATTGGTGAGAAGGGAAAGAGGTGAGTCCATTATGCCAGGAATAAATCCGCGTGTAAACACTCATAATCGTTTGAAGCCATCTGAATCCAACCTTTTATGCTGAATGAGGCTTCGTTACATTCCTTTTTGTCATAAATTTTGCAGTTTCTCGTCCACGATTATGTAACTTAGTTAGACGATTTCTGACCCCCGTGCCAGTACCCAGATTGGACTAGCAATTGAGTAACAGGTATGGCGGCCCAAAACATTACGCCATTATTAAGTCGTTTCACCTCTTTCTAGTCGAAGAACTTGGAAAAGTAACGCACTCATCTACACGTGGATGGAGACTGTGAGCATTAAAAAAATTCCTTAACAAGATTTGCATAGTTTTTTACCTCCCATCGCAAACCGCACAGCCAACGAAGTAATGTAGCATCCCAATGAGAGTGTCTATTGACCACTACAGAAATGTGGCAGTCCTAGAGGCCGAGGGGAAAGGTTCTTGTGTGTGCACGTAGTCAATAGAGAAACTTCACTTTACACCTTCATCTCAGGTCACTTCACTTCACCTTGCCTCGCATAACTGCACATTCAAGAGTACGGAGGCCTAAAGGAAAGATCATCTTGCCTGAAAATAGTCACGCCTAACCGGTAAACTAATTTGTTTTGAGGCAAATGTCCACCTCTAGGACGGCGAAAACACAATCGAAGGAGCTTAATCCCCTTCAGACCGGTTCTAGTGGAATACTTTACAAAATTTAAAGGACTTACGTTGCTGTTATTTTGAGAAAGAGACACAAATTCCACATCTACGCTATTTTCCCTTCTTAAGTTTGCTCGAGTGATGGATTTTGTAAACCCTGCGTGTGACACTTGCCACTTTTGGTATTGCTAACCGTGTCATAATTTGGCCTAAAAATGAACAGTAGACTGCACCAAATTGGTAGCCTTTTGTTGTCAACATTCGTCACCTTCCAGTTGGACCTTTTGGTTTGCTATTGCTACGTACCATGTGGCCTTCAAGCATTGCATTGTCCGCGTTATATGTACACTTTGACAGCTTTGACAGTCAATTCGAATTTTGGGATACAGATGGGCATGAATCCCCTCACCACTCCTCAGTCTCAACCGTCACTCCGACCTGTCTCTGTGGCAGGACACAACATGGCACTACATGGTTAGTTGGTCCGAAAAGATGCAGTCAGGTAATGGACAAACAGCCGTGACCGTCAAGGCCCTCTCACTAGAGAATTATCCTGTCTCCTGAGCCAAATCCAACGAAGACGTCAAGGCGTATTTTTAAGCCACTCAGTCATCCAATGCTAGAAGGCTGACCGAGGATTCACAAACCGGTGGGGCAATGATTGCGAGACAAAAGGCACTGTTCATCGAGAAGGCTGTTTATAGAAAATCGCAGCTACGTGGAGGATTTCTGCTTACATTCCAATAGTTAAATGTGATATGTTTTCAATAACCCACCAAACAACCACTGCGTTCTAAATCAAAACCTCCTCTCCATTTAAGCACCCTTTCTGACAGATGGATTTGTCGAAAGCATTGTCTCTGCACGAGGGAAATGTTCCATCGTCCATGACCTCTGATGAAACTAGGCCATCCAAAGTGGATGTACTTTGCTGTTGGATGTTTTAGTACAACGCCTTGATACAAACCTCAGTTCTTGGTGAAGGCGCTAAAGTTTGCTTTCTTGACCCAGTGCAATAAGTAAAAAAGACGTGTGTATAAAAGGGAGTACTGAATCCACACAAAGCTAATTACCAACACCTCCAAGCGGCGATGGTAACAATTCCTCTTCTAATCCTCCTTGTACTCTGCCTTTCGAACCTCAGTCAAGGTATGTGAAGGTATCTGTTCTGTTTCTACTCTCGTTTTTCGGTTTTCCCTCTACATTGACTCAACACCCTCTAACCACCACCACAAAGTGACTTCCACTAAGTTTAAATTGGGGGAGAAATAACTCGTGGTTGAGCCTCAGAGCTACAACACAGTTGAGTTGAAGTAACTTGTAAGGAAAGTTGTTTGTTGTTGGTTGTTGCTGTTGTTGTTATTTTAGGCAATGCGGATGTCTGCACCCAACCAATTGAGCCAGGCGTTTGCAAAGCCCACACCAAGTCGTGGGGCTATGATCCTGCGAAAGGCAGCTGCGTCCGTTTCATCTACGGCGGTTGCGGAGGCAATGAAAATCGGTTCAAGACCAAGAAGGAATGCAAGCAAACATGCATTAAGAAACACACAAAGAAGAAGAACTAATTCCCCTCTCATCAAAGTGGTCTGATCTACTGTGATCCACTTTCATGACCGATAAAATCTCTTTGGGCGGTGGCATAATTTCGCCTTTTGTGAGATTCTGTGCGGAAATAGGCAATGAAGCCTGGTAGGAATTTAGACCACTGAGAGTAGGAGGAATGTGGGGAAAACTGAGTGGGCAACAGCTACCTGCCTTAATGAAATAATTAAGGAGCTTAAACTTCGCATCCACGAGGCGCTGCTCGTGGAATGCAAGTCCTCCATCAATGCTGGATGTTACTCACCCGAAATGCAACCAATACATGGGGACTTTGGTTTAAGAGTTCTGTTTTCCTGAATTGAGGCCTTCCATAGAGAACAAGGCGCTGGATGTGTTGAGAGCGGCCCATGCGAAAGGTCGGAATGAAATTTACCCCCGTGTCCCACCCTTGCAATCGTGGTGCAAATCCGAGGTGCGCAAATGTCGCTGATTGTTTTTTCAGGTCAGAAGGACACTTCCAAATGACACCTCAAGTGAGGTGATGTTGCACTCTTAAACAAGATGCATTACTGGCACTGTCAAAGTTGTCCTCAAAGTCCTGGTCACATACGCGCTCGGCTTTCGCTTAGACCCTTTTTCAGGTGCTTGCACGAGGTACGCTACGGACTTGGAGGTGGGTGTTAAAATGAGACTGGTAAACAGCTCTATCGAGACGACGCACTTCTGACGTTGGTTTTCAAGCATTTAAGTGAGACGATCGTAAGAGAGTTAGACTGGGTGGTTTGAATAAACCACCGAATCGCCTATTGTCATGCAGACGTCAAGGAATGATTTGAGGTCGTTGTTGGTGGGGGAGTGGATTGGCGTCGAGAAATGCATTAACCCTATAAAATGCAATTTATCGTGCCACTTTGTAAAACGTTCAGCACTTTTCGTTTATTTTGTTGGTTTAGTGTGGACACTTTGAACTTAAAGTGGTAAATACTACGTCAGAACGCAATTTTTGTCAAAAGCATCAGTTAGAAATGAGGCGGAGATTTGTCTCGATTGACGGTAGCGCAGCAGTAAATTTTGTGATTTTTAAAGTAGGCAATGGGAAAGAAGACGCCTAAACAAGGGGGTTGCGAAGTCACAGTGAACGCAATCCACCCGTCAAACAACTGCTCTCTAGTGTAGACACCCTCAGGCAACTCAGCCTTCCGCTCATGGAATGCTTGAAAGCCGTTTGGATAACGCTGGTGACGTTTGTGGAGGCGTCAAAGCAACGCCTGTCACTCCACTTCCACCTAAAGGGTAGTAGTACAAAAGTCAGCCATTGTAAACGAGTCTTCCAAGTTCGCAAAAGTCACAAAATTAATCTGATCGAGTGTGAAATCGTCAGAGGCTACGCGGTGGGGTTTGCACCTTCAGCCCACATTTTCAGCCTCAGATCTCAAGTCTGGTTTAACTGAAATCCCAGAAAGGATCCACTACATGGGGATCACCACACTTGTCAGCCTCTGCTGAATGCAGTCTCACAGCTCTCCTCTCCTCCCATCAGTGGAGTGGGAAGTGACAAGAATAAACTCGTAACTTCGTTGTCAGCGTCCACTGTCAGATGATGTGACAGTATCAAATGTTTAGGCAAGGATGCGGTCGACAAGTTCATAAGAGCGATTATATATGTGTGGGTGGACATTTCATCGCATGACGTAGAAAAGGGCCGCATTGTATCCTTTCCGCAGAGGGTTTCTAGCGTAAATAAAGGCTTTGAAGGCCAAAAATGTAAACATCAACGATTTGCGTTGTCGGTATTGGCATGGGACCGGGTTACATGACAAATTTACATTACAGCTGCAAGCACTGAGAGAGAGAGAGAGAGAGAATTCGGTAAACGTTGTGGTCCAGAGAACTTTAACGCCTTATTTGGAGTGATGAGGTTGTGTACTCGAGAACACCATCTTGCTCGTGCTAGGCGAAGCTTAAACGCCGGCAACAGAGGAATCACTAAGTTGGACGTTTACGTTTAACTTGAATGGCTGCTTGAGGAAATTGCGTGGTCTGACCTCACTGTGGCATGGCGTAACAGAGGTGGTGACACAGTAGTTAGGGCATCCGGACAGATGGGCGAGTCTGACAAAACGCTTTGTGATAACTTCCTTCGCTTTCGACAATGCATTCCTCGCCCCTGTCGATCATCAAAGACGAGAGGCTGCTTCCTACGTCATTCTGTACCACGAAAACATAAACACTGATAGGCCTCAATGGATATGAATGGAGTGTGGATGCTGCCGCCTTCATCGTAAACAAATGCTATGCAGTTTTGATTGTACAATCGTCGGTCCATTCTTCCATCCAAGACCTTGTGATGAATACGGATTGGGTCTAACGTATGAGTGAAAGGAGGAATGTCTGGGCGGTTGGTAAGTGGATAACCACAGGAGTGAATGACGTCATCCTTTTACAATTATATGACGGTTAAGGTGAACTTTTGTTTCCATCCTGTCAAGCATAGCTACTTAAAGCAAAATTACTTCAACGACTGCTCAATTTTAATGAAAACTTTCGTGGTTTCACCAAGAAGACCCTTGCTTCAATCTGCTTTTGTGTGTTCTCAAGTAAAGCCTCTTATCTGAAACCAGCTTTTTGAGATGCTTTGATGTTTCCTTTTACAATGCCAGAAGAGGCGTAGAAACCGCACTCCTACTGCGACTCGCTTGGTTGCCCCAACAAACAAGCACGAGTCGTTTGTGTATATAAAGGGAAGGTCGCAATCACACAAATCCAACTGACAGCGCCATTAGGTCAAGATGACCAAGCTCGTTCTTCTAGCCCTCATGGTGCTTTGTGTTGCCGGTCTTGAGCGAGGTGAGTCAACTTTTAAAGTGGATTCTGTTTAACCTCTTCCCTATACCCTCACGAGGTGAAAAGTAGGCAGTGGCTTGGTGATGGGTGAACAGAAAGAAGTCGGTCAGGCGTCACCACATGACAGTTGCTGTCGACAGACTAAAAAAGCCAGTTTAGGAGTGATGTTTGAGGTAGGGTGAATTGTAGATCCGAAATTTGGAAGCTCCTTTCTGCAATGGTGGTGGATGATAGTAGACAACTGGTCCTATCAAGAAGCACAATTAATGTCCAGTCTGACTTGTAGGCAGCAAAGAAATCTGCAGCCTGCCAATTGATCCAGGACAAGGCAGAGCACGCATGAGTGCGTGGGGCTACAATCCAGCACTGGGTCGTTGTGTCCACTTCGTCTACGGTGGTTGGGGCGGCAATGCCAACCGATTTCAAACGCTGAAAAAATGTCGACGTGCGTGTGGCAATATTTTCGTTAGCTAGAAGAGCTTCTCTTTCCTCTTCTAATCAACACGATAATAACTGGATGTGCGTGTGTTCTTCATCGAATGTCCAATTGAGTAAACTCGGATGCATCAAAAGTGCTCTCACTTGTCTCTCTTCCGCCTTACTTTTCTGGGGATGAGACTTCTCTGTCCTTAAAGAAATTCCAATCGGTTGTGGATTTCGGTCAAATGGGACTGAAATGTCACAGCATTTCATATGGTTGGGTCTGAGTGTAGAACGTAGCTATGAAGAATCAGAGGAGGTCAACGCTTGACGTAGTGCCTTAGGCCAGTCTTCATTCCCAAGTTAATTACCTGATCTGAACTAAATAAACCACCTTCAAAAAAGTGTGTCCTCCTTAATGCCAGCGGCATTCCGTTCTTCAAAGGCTCATCAAATTTTGAATGTCCTTACTAATGTGATATGATAGTTAGACCTTTCTCCTCCTCCTCCTCCTCCTCCTCCT